ACGTACATATTATTTACATATACATATAATATATATGCACCTTCATCATACAAAAAAAATTTACAATTTTAAATTTTGAACGCTTCATTCAAGTACATATACTATAAGCCTCTATGCAGAGGCCAAACACGAAAAAGTCGAAGATATCGCAGGCTCTGCAAAATTTACAGTATATAGGAATTATCACAAAAAATTATATTATACAGGCCAATAAGCATAGGTGCAAGGCTGCTGACGCTCTACTCTTCCAGATGGTGATGGAGAAAAATAGAGCGAAATCTAGAAATAACTCTGTCATTATTAGTAAAGGGAATAGCTACGATTTCGTATGGACCAGATACGACCTTTTCACAATAATTAGTTGCTACTTGCGACAAGCAACAGCATACAAGAATTTTAAAAAAAGCTCGACAGTATAACTTCAAAATACAGTCATGACTATATAAAGTCAAATTATTATCGTAAATTCGAAAACCATAGAGTAGGGCATGCCAAACGCAGATTCCAGAGGAAAGCTCTTTCTAGAAATGGCTGCACGGCTTGTTTTAATTGTGATCAATACGGGGACGCAACCACTTTTAGAAAACCGGGATGCGAAGAAGTTACACCAGGCATTACCTAAGCATCAGAAGGCATGTCAGGCTCAATAGAGAGAATTGAGTCTTAAAAGAGTTCAATGGCAGCGATAATCAGTATATATCCTTCATTATCGGCAACGGAAAAACTCCACACAGAAAAGAAAAAATACAGGAACAGGAAAATGGAACGTTTCTAAATTAAACACTGCGACATTATTTTCGGAAATAGACGAGCAGACCCCGCTTAGTAGCTCTCCACACTTTGTATAATGCGAGCCTGCCACAAATCAATGCCCATGACTTCATACAGAAAAAATTAAGCAGCCGTTTACTGGAGAAAAGGAAATATGGCTCAACTTAGAAGCACGTGTCTTCGTTTTCGCAGATCATACACGAAATATAGGCCAAGAGGAGCAGCACCCGATGAAGTCAAGCAATACCACGCAGCGAAAAACTAGTTTAAGTCATCGAGGTAAGCAAAAAGGAAAAAATGGGAGGGACTACGTGAGGCCCGCGAACCAGAACAGGATTTCGGAAATCCCCCAGTTCACCCGCTAGCAAACTCAAAACTAAAGAATCGCATCATCAGAAATACTCAAAACAGTCGCCGCAGAACAAAACGTAACGCCCACCTCGCTGGAATATTTCCTAGAATTTAAAAAAAAGCACGTCGAAAGACTACTTAAACCTAGATTAGAAGCGGCTCTTAATGAAGCTGACGGACTCTCCCCCAGACAACACGGTTTTAGACCCGAAAGATCAAAAAAGTCTAGAAGTCGCATAGCGTAGATGCCCCAAATACAAGCGCCCCGGCGGATACAGCGTCGAATACTCTCAGGGCTTTACTCCATTCGGATGTCATGACCTAGCCAGCGTAGCCGCTGTCTCTTAACTCGCTGAATGTCGTCCAGGAGGATGGAGTCATGTGTACATTGTCGTCGTATATCACGTACAGACCATCGGTCACTTGCAAAATTTGGACTTTGTTCGTCGAAAGAGGACTTTACTTCTCAGTTGCCTACTCAGTCCGAAGTAGCACTTGTTGGCAAAAGTTATTCTACGTTGGGTCTCGAGGCTGACATTGTGTTGTTGCTGTTAATGCTAGTTCCAAGACGATATTATCTACGACTTCGTAATAACGACCGTCAACACTGACGTGGGAGCCAAGTCGCGAGTGCGACGACTGTTTGTTTGATGACAGGAGATATTTCGTCTTGCCCTCGTTCACTACTAGACCCATTTGTTTCACTTCTTTGTCCAACCTGGAGAAAGCTCAATTAACGGTTATGGTTATGGCCAATGATATCAATGTCATCGGCGTACGCCAGCAGTTGTACCCTCTTATACCTTCTCTATTCATACCCCTTGAGCAAACTATTTTTAGAACCCAGTATAAATGCCAATTGATGTGAAACACATATGTATTATTACATACATACATATATTTATATATAAACTAAATACGTCATCTAAGTTGTCCTAGTAATTTCAATTAAAACTTTACCACCACGCATATGTTGACCCGCTCCACTGGACGTTGAAAAGCTATAAAAATGCCTATGCGACCATAAATCATTCCGTCATGACTCAGTACAATAATTGCCTTGCTGACCTTTTGCTGTTCGCTTCTTTATCCCCCACTTCATTTTCGCATTAAGCAACAACAACTCACTCATTCAAGTTCGCAGGCACATATACACATACATAAATACATACATATGGAGCTACAAATATTTATAAGCCCCACTTCCAATGTATATTTGAACGGCGTTATAAAGCAGTATATTGAAAAACGGAAATAACCATAAAATTCCAATAAATACCGACACGAAAAACTCGTCAAGTATGTGTGGTACATTAAAGCGCCACAAAGCAGAAGCACGAAGAGACAAATCAACACTCAGCAACTTCGCAATCAAAAGCATGTAAGTGGGGGAGATCGCAAATATATGCTCACACATAGCATCAGACCAAGCTTAAGGCCCATAATAAAGCTTTCTTGTAATTAATAAGAGGTTAGAAATTTTAGACTGCTCATGCTTTAGAGATACATAGATGTAGTACTGGAAGAAATTGAGCTAAAAGGTAGTAATGTTGAAATGGACCTTATTTACTACCGACACTACGACACAGTACAGCGATTTTGAACTTTTGCGGGCGATGTTATCAGGAAGGCAAGCACATTTTGTCTAGGATTTTTCCAGTTCTCCAAACACTTTTTATTAATACTTTTTGGGATGGCCTTCAACTCTTTCAGAAAATTTAGTTTTATCTTTTCTTTGGCGCAGGGGTCGCAGAACCACGCACAAAACTCTCCAGGTCAGGCAGGTCAGAAAGGTATTGTCGGGAACGAATAGAAATAGTAAATTCAAAAATTCGATGTTCGATAATTTTCATAAAATGTCACATGCATACATAAAAAGCCTACCTCTCGTTTTTTATTCACCAGACAACCATATGCGCGCTCACACCTGCGCCATGTGCTCTGTGTGCATTTATGGAAGTAAGTAACTTAATATTTCGGGTACTATAGAGATGTTTTCACAATTGTTGACTATCAGTTATCAGTATATATGTATGTACTTTGTACAGATTTAAAAAAGGAATTTACTTGCACACACTAATTGAATACTTTAAAGTAGAAAACATTTTCAGCGAACGTCTAACATTTTGCGTGTATTTGGGGATTTCCGTGGCACAACTATTGCATACTTTTAGGATTCACACAGAAAATTTAATTATTTACGATATTTCCCACTCAACGGTTAACAAAACACAGTCGCCAAACGGGATTCACACACAGAGGGGATTATGCATCTTCTACACTTCCTCAAGTCCACACATCCGATAGGCCAATAAAGCCGGTTATACGCACGGTTATATCCGGTTGTATGACTTTGCGCTTTACGCGCATAACCACAAGCACAGGCACATATGTATGTATGTATGCACAAAGATTTTTATAGACTGGTATTTGTGGGGTGTGCGAGTGTGTGGGTAACACGCCAGCCAAACCAACGATAAGAGACGACCGTCTGAAGCTTTAGCGAATGGCGAGTTGAAGCGCGAGTGTGGTGAAAAGGACTTGCGTACGAACACAACACAGACAGATTAAGCGTAAGCTCGCCTGGAGTTAGGAAGACACACGCGCGCTGTGTTTTATGCTTTCGTCTATACATACACACACAAACACATAGAGCGCAAATAATGAATTAACGATAGACAAGAGCAGCGTTGAAGCGGAAAGTCCTCAGTCGAGGTGGTAAACGTGTACCGGTGGTCGCTGCCGGACGGTATGCACGAAGCGACAACGAGCGCGCGACTTACAAGACACGCGGCACAGCACGCAATTTCGAACGAACGCCAAGGATGAGCGCATAAACTTCGAATTGTGTACACGGCACGGCTTCAGGACGTGGTTAAGACGTGTGTAGTACGCGTCGAAGTTAGACGCGCAACATTTGGCTTCTTAAGTTTGTGCAGCGTCTCTGTTGTACGAGACACGGCGACTGCCACAGCCAACTAACTAACTCGATTAAGGTGCCAAGCGGTTGAAAGCAGCAGTAGCACTCGTCGCAGCATGTCTGCGCGCATATAGAGAATTATTAGGCGGGCGTACACACACACGCACGCACGTACTTACGCTTACAAGCTGTTTTGTGTTACACCTTTTAATACTTCATTTAATTAAATTTTGTATGGCACAATTTTTACTTGCTCTCTGCATTTGCTTTTCGCTGCCGTTTCGAAATCGCGCACTCGCTGCAAAATGTCTGCTTTCGTAGTTTTACGCGTAGATATTGAATTCACAATTCATTTTTTTTTTTTTTTTTTTTTGTTTGGTACGACTCGTTTAATTGTTGCGTAGCAATTTCATACAACGCCTATAAGTATGCACACAACTCACACGCACGCACGCACATGCTTTGCACAGAACGCAGCGCTAAACGTTTTTAGACAATGTGTATATACATGCATATATTTTTTCTCCAGCCGCACAATTGCTGTAGATTTTATAAAATGGCAATTTACAAAAAAAAATCACACTTTTTTTGACAGTTTTGACTTATGGTTTTAATTGGAGCGTTGCAGCGTCTATTAATGGCAGCAACAACCGCACGCGCGTATATCCTTTACTCAACTGAGACGGCACGAAAATGGCTGTGTGAGACAAAGCGGCGAGTATTTGAGCTTTTCCAATTTCGAAATACTCTAAATGAGCCTCAAAACGCGAAGAGCGTAAGTAGGAGCAAGCAAAGGGGAGGTTTTGATGACAGCTGGTGGTTTTGAAAGGTTGGTGAAAAGCTCTTGTTGCATGCCACATTTGCAATAATGGCGGCAATGCAGTATGCAAATATTTTGTTTGGCACTTAAAGCTAATTTTGTTTAAATATTCAAAAAATATAATTATGCATGTCTTACCTTAAACTTGCATTCCTAACTTGATTGTTGAGCGGTTATTTTTACGCAATTTTGCGTGAACTTATATTCTGCCAATAACACTATTTTGCTTTGCTTAATTCCTAATTCGAAATTTTGAGTGACTTGTTAATCTTGAACTTGCCCATAAGATCGATAGTCTAATAACAGAAGGAAAGGAAGCTGTTAAATTTTGAATTAACTACGAAAGGAAATATTTATATAAAAAATATAAAAACAACAAATACAAGTAAAAATATTATTAAAATTAAAGGAAC